ACAATAATTAGATATAATTCCTTAAAACTATTTTCTTACATGAACATATTTTAATCCTTTAGGATGCAGGCTGAGGCACAGGTTACTTTTCCCACTGTGTGGCTTTACAAAAAAACTAATCGCAATTTCGCGTGATTCTAACTTCAGACACAAAAAAAAGGAATCTCCTATTAAGCAAAATTAACTTGACCGATCGTCAACGTAGGCGAAAAGGAACTCCCCTCAACCTGTAATCCCTCAAGAATCCTCTGTTGATCTTTTTGACCATGTAGTTTAATATTATGATTCAATAAAACCTTGTCCAACTGCACGTTTTATTATTTTATTGAATCTTCTTTGTTTCGCGCGCCTGGCCTTGGACAAAACTTTACAAATCATAACATACTTATTTACAGGGTGTTATATTTATTCGTAACAATATACAAAATAGTACCGACATTTGGCTTTTTATTATTTATGAACAGTAGAAATAAAGAAAGTTTTAAATACCTGTGTGATCCATATGTCTGGGAGATGCACATTCTTGTAATCAAATATTACCTTCTGATTAAACGCTTTAATTTTAAAACGCTAATAGAATGATTTTATTTAACACGAGATATGATTTACTTATAAATAAATACTTTTAATATTATTTATACCATTTCTCTGGGAAATTTGTTACTTTAAACCATGTTACTTGAGTAATAATTTATCTTGCATGATGACGGTTTCTTAACGCGGCTAACGCGTGTGGTCTCCATGACTGTTTTAGTAGCAGTGGCACGAAGAAGGAGACAAGCCGTTTTCTATTATAATTTTCTTCTAAATGCTTAAATAAACGAATTACTAAATATTTTCTTTGTATAATAATTTTTAATATGATCACACTTTTTTAAGAAAGATATATAAAAACTGAAAATTTGTCGTAAATAGTATATTATAGTGTGTTGCTTATACCTACGATAATCGTGAAAAAAGAGCTGCTTATGTTAAAACTTCATGTAAACTTGGATATTATAACTAGAAAACATGTATCTGGGTAAAAATGACTTACAAATCATTTATTAAAAAGAAATATTATTGTATTATAGCTTATTTAAATTAGGCGATCAACAAAACTGTTAAACTTTGTCGCTCGGGGAACGACAAAGCTCTTACACAATATCAGTGTATTGAAAACATCAACTTTGTGGTTGGAATTCGAAGCTCAAAAACAATCTTTGGATACTGATTATAGAAAAATACTATTACTTGTTATTGCCAAATTTAACTATATGTAACTATTTGTCATTTAACCAAAAAGCAAATTTAAGGGATACTTAATTGCTGGGTCCCTCCTTTTTCGAGGCTGAATAATCAAGAACAAACTCGTAGCATAAAAACACGAGTAACGATTATTTTATTTTCACTAAAAGACCGATAGACGATGAGAAGTACTGAGACGTTGAATTTTGTTGTTGAGGTTTGTTAATCATTGTATACGATACACGATACACCAAGTAGAGTATTTTCACTTCTAGAGCCCTGGGTATTAAAAAAGTTTTATGCCACCTTTTAATTAAATCGGTTATTTGGAAAAGGGCACATCTACTTTACACTTGATTTTATAGTTTAAAGAAAATACATTTTTCAATTAGATTGGGTCCATAAAATAGTTATGTATACACCGTGTCCCACGTAAGGCGGGCATTACAACTTTATGGAGAATAAATTTTATTAATTTTTATTTTCGCCATTTTCTGTGTATACATAATCGAATATGCTCTTTTGAATTAAAATAAAATGAACTCTGTGCAACTTCCGGTTCAAAACTTACGTAAAATTAAAGAATATACTATTTTCTATTTTCAAATGGTATTCCCATGCAACTACAATGAGTAGAAATTAGCAATTTGAAGGCCTAAATAATTGCAGCGAAACATTTTTTTACGTCGGGCCGCTTGACAACTTCAAAACTGAAATTATATTCGAGGTTAGGGTCTCACTTAGTTACTTGGAGAAAATAATTTGCATTGTTGAGAAACGAAAAATAAATTTTAAAAATATTTAATTTTCAACCATAATTCGGCGTGGAATTTTCTTACCGAATACCACGCGAGGTCAAATTAATATCAGGAAATTTTTTCTCGCTCATAAATATTTTTAGAAAATATTCATGAGCTCGAAAAAATTTCCGGAAATAATTTGACCTCTAGTGGTATTACTAGTGATAAAACCCTTAAAACTGATAAATATTTAATAAGTAAACCTGGGACGAAAATAAAAGAATTGGCATTTGAAGAAGACTAATAAACTATTTTAAAATACATAACCCAAACAAGAGATTTAAACATGTTAAAATAAAATAGATATTACCTTTGAAAACAAAAACACTACACACACACTTTACTATATACAATAAATATTAATAATTATCAAGTTACATTTTTGGGCATTGGTTTGGCCCAACGGCCGCCCCTTGAGTCCCTTGTGTCAACGATTGACTCTCTATTTATACCTTTATATTAAATAAATAATAAATATTATTTTAAAAGAAACTCGACTTATTTACTTTTAATGATTATTCACACGATTTGTCCTTGTCCTAATTTACAAGTACAATGAACTATTTCTAATTGTTTGGTTTTAATAAGTATGTTGTGTTAATTTAATAGATATTAAAAATATTAGATATTTTTGTTAAATTCTTTATATTTTAAAAATAATAATGCCAATTATTACAAGTATACAAGGAGAGATTTGCATAGGCCTTCTTCAAAGGGACTTGAACGAAGTTCTTTGGATAGCACCAAACTCTTAGGTATAAATCTTCATAAACTTAAATCTCCAGAAAATTCTTTAGATGTAACTCGAACTAAACCTCTTGATAGAAATCAATATAAACAGTTTTAGATATATCTTGAATTAAACTTCTTAGAGATGACTCGAAATGAACTTCTTTAGATATAACTCAAACAGAACCGTCTAGATATAACCAGGCTTAAAGGAAACGGTAAAAATATTAAGAAAGGAACTAGCAAATTTGTACAGGAATCAGATAAAATGCCTTTAACTAATAATTGAACAAATGAAAACTATTAACTAAAAAGTTTCACACAGACTAAAATTATATGAAAAGGAAAAATCTTATTTAACATATTTAAATATAGTAAAGCATAATATCTCTTCCAAACAAAATAATATATAAAATTATATAAAACGTGTTATCCATGTATTATTCATGTATTGAGGTTATGTACAATATTTTACATTTTAATCAAGAAATCTTTGTACAAAATATATATTGTCAACAATATATCGGTATTCAAACTTACCTTACAAAATTAGACGGCCAATAAGAATATTAAAAGACAATTAGTACATCGGACGTCCAAGATAATTAAAAATTTAAATCAACTTATTCGTTGACAGATACAAATCGAAATGAATTCGAACTTCTGACGCAAGGCATAAACGACAAATGATATTAGAGTAGAGATGTTTGCGTCAAAATAACGAAAACGGTTCCAACCGTTACAACATCTAATCAACTCATTGGAGGATAGATTAAAACTTATGTTCAAAATGTAGTTTTTGTGTCTTTATTCGTTTTTGAGTTATCGTGGATACATACGCACAGATAGGCATATGGACATACAGACACTTAGACACGTGAAAATCCGTCGAAAACTCGAAGTACGAAAAAATCATGATTCCCATACCTAATTCCCTTCTATATACAGACAGTAAAGTAAAAATGTATTGTAAAAAATGATAAACTATAAATTTGTATTTTACAACACAAAAACAATAAAAGTATTGAGAAAAGCATATGAAATAATTAGTAAATAAAAAGAAATGTATTAACGTTACGTGGGTGATTCCATTCTAACTGTAATTTTTTATGTCTTGTATTGTTTGTTCCCTACTGGTAATTAATTAATAATCTATTAATTATTTTTGTGTTAATTAAATAACCATGAACCTATTTTATCATATTTTTTATTTAATATAACTTGCCACTTAGAGAAAACTTACAATATATCACCTAAATGTCAGTACCGTGTCATGTCCATTTCTAGAATTTACCTATAAATTGTAAATTTTTTTTGTCGCAATAAATGATATAAACTAATTACCTCATCAATTCTAATGTATATAATTAAACTGATAGAAACTGACAAATTTTTGGTTAATGTATTAAGTTAACATTGAATTCCAGTTCAATAACTTTTGTCTTTAAGATTTAATGAATTTTTGATATTGAATTTACTTGAGCGCCATATACCTTGATATTTATGAAACATCTAGTAACCCATATTGAAAGTACGTCACCTCAGTAATATTTACAAATATGGAGTTGACGACATAGTGCAAAGAGTTTGTGTCATTTTAGAACTAAGTTTTCACCAAGGTATGTCATAAATTTTCTTGTCAGTACCGTGGTATTGATAAACTTTACCAACTATTAATTTTTTCTATCCAAAATAGTAAATTTTTGTACTTAATACTAACCTTAATTGCTTAGTAAATGGATATTAACAAATTCATAACCAAACAAATACAGTTGTCATTTTAAATGAAAATCTGTCAGTACTATGTCACAAGTATTAGAAATTAAAAATTTAAAAATACCGACTTCAAAAACGTGCAGATGTCATCACCACATCTTAACCAAATTTAGATGGGACCACCCCTGAGTTACCCCCTTACTAACAAAAAAAGAATCATATAAATCGGACAAGGTGGTAAAGCATTATCGTTAAATATACATAAAAAATGAAGAGTTTGAGGATTTTCTCATAGACTCAATTATTAGATTTTGACTAAATTTATATGGAACCACCCCTGAAATACCCCTTTTCGAATAAAAAAAGAATCATTGAAATCGGACACCGTGTTAAAGAATAATCGCTGAACATACATAAAAAAAATATCGCGACGAATTGATAACCTCCTCCTTTTTTGAAGCCGGTAAAAATATAATAAATTAGTAATAAAATTATTTTAATCATAATTTGTAATTTTTTGTAATGCAGATGGCTCCAATACTTCAAAAAGTACCTGATACTAGACAATAAAAGTGGCAGAATTCAACAATTACCTTCAAGAAAAAAAGTCAAGCATAAAAATAAAGTTAGTGCCGAAGTAAAACAACATCGTTTGGAACAAAAACGTATTGCTGAAAAATTAAGGAGAGAAAAAATACAAAATGATCCAAAGGCTTACGAAAATTACTGTCGAAATGAAAGAGTAAGAAATGAAAAAAGAAAAAAAGAAGGAAAACTTAAGTCAATTCAAGAATTATCAGAACGAGAAAAGAGAGCTCGTCGCATACAACAAAATTTATGGAAAAAAACTCACGGGCACGACAAAAAGTAAATATTAATAATGTTGAATTCAAGCAAGCCAGGGTAGGAAAGAAACGAATTCAAAATAATCTACGTAAATATTTCAGAGAAAACAAGAAATTATCGGAAAATAATAAAAAACTGCGAACCACAATTAATAGCTTACATAAAAAATTACAGCGCTTGAATATAAAGAAATCAGACTCCACATCGCCTAAATTTAAAGTTGATAAAATATTAAATGGTCAAAATGTGAATCCCGAAGTTCGTATAACATTGATATTTCATGAAGTTATGGTACGGCAACTAAAATCGTCCTACCAAAACTCAAAAAGCTCCAAGTTCAAGCAGATATTGGGTCGAGCAATAAGCGGAAAAATTGTAAAAAAATATCGACGACTATCTGCCATTAGGAAAAATATTGTTCCTATTATTTCTTCAAGAGTTGATAGGAGTAATAAGCCACTAGAGTATGTAAAAAATACAAAAAGCAATCAAAAATTTATTCAAGATCAAGTGATAAGTTTTTATGAAGAAAATAGTAAGATGATTCCGGATAAAAAAGCTTCAATAAAAATGAATGGTAAACAAGTGACAAAGCGTTATATGAATGCTACGATTAAAGATTTACATTCTCAGTTTTGTTCCCAAAGTACGTACCGTGTTATCTACTCAACTTTCGCAAAATTACGCCCAAAGTATTGTATTGAACCGAAAGTTAATAATCGAAATACGTGTGCGTGCTTCACTCATGAAAATTTTTCTTTGTTAATACAAGCTTTTCACAGTCATAAGTTATTAACAGAAAATACGTCATACAAAATTTTGAGCAGTTGCTTATGTGACAGTATTTCTGAACTATGTCTATCAAGAAAGTGTGATAAATGTAAGTTAAAAAAAAAATAGAATTTAATCTTAAAGACACTAATCCTATTGATTAAATATCTTACATGAAATGGGAAGTATCTTCAGAACAAATAATTAATGAAAAAACAAAAAACCAATAACTGTTAAAATTACTGCAAAAAAAAATTTCTTGTACGATATTGCAGCAATTAACCATTTTAAACACGAGCTAGATTTGTTTATAGCTCATAAATACAGAATTACTTATCAAAACAACTCCATGAAAAAACTTACTCAGTCTCTACAAAGCAATGAGTTAGGACTCCTCATTGACTTCAGTGAAAATTATTCTTGTAAGTATGAAACAGAAGTTCAGTCAGTACACTGGCATGGTCTACTCTTCAAAATCTTCTCAAGGATTTGCTACTTTGTCAAAATCGTTCAGACATGATCCTTCTGCTATTATTGTTCATATAAAAAAAAAATACTTGACGTTTATCTAGCAACAAATCCAGAGATAAATAAATTATATATAATGGGTGATGGTCCAACGACGCAGTACCGCAATATAAAAATGTTTTATCTCATAACTCAGTACTTGCCTCAGTGCTATACTCAATTAGAGGATATTACATATAACTTTAGTGAGGCTGGCCATGGAAAAAGTTCTGCTGATAGGATTAGCGGCTATATAAAGAAATTAGCTGACGATCAAGTGAAATACGGCTTGGATGTAACAAATTTTGATTCTTTGCTGGCGATTTTGCGAAATCGTGTTAAATCTGTATACATTGATTGCGTTACAGAAGACGAAATATCAAACATTGATTCAATATTACCAAGCAATTTTAAGCCTTTCATTGGCACTATGAAAATACATCAATATACGTGGAATAAACTACAACATAATTGTATTTTATTTAATTCATTAAGTTGTTTTGATTGTTCTAATAAAAGTCCATGTATACATTTTGCTATGGGAAAAATTGATTACTCTGTGAATGATACAGCCGGAAAAATTAACAAAAGATTGATAGCTAAAATAAAAAAATCGGAAAATTCGTCACCGAAATTAACCAAAAATTTAAAATGCCTTGAAAAAGATGTTGCTAAAGACATTTTGGGAAAAAATGAAACAATATCACTGCGTAGAAGTGCAAGAATTAAAAAAACTGATGAAAACCAAAAACAATACATTAATTAATTTATTTAATATTATTAATTTATTTGATATTTATTAATTTAATTTAACATATTTTAATTTATAAGTTAGATTATTATCAATTAGTAGTTGCTATAAATTATAAAGGTAATTGTTATTATTCATTATTAATGTGTTAAATAATCAATAAAAAAGAATTTAAAAACGTTGTAATAGAACTCATTAATAAATTTAATAATTGTTCTAAAGAATATCTATCAAATTTATTTTATGTCAGTACCGTGGATAAATGAGTCAGTACCGTGGGACGGAAAATTTGAAATTTGTTTCTCATTCTTGACGATTTTAAGTTGTAGTAAAATCCTCTCAGGCTTTTATTTTAACAGTAAAATAGATGAATAATATGCATCAAAAAATTAAAAAAAGTTTAATTTCAAAATCTTAAAATTTTTAATCAAAAAAGTAACAGTTAGAATAGAATCACCCACATACTTGAGACAGCTTCTTGATTTTTACACAAACTGTGACGAAGTCACTAAAATTCCCATTAATTTATTCCATAAATTAATTTCTAAAATTAATTTCCGTCTATGAACATTTTCAAGACCCCCTGTAACTAATGTTTCCATAGAATTACCGTTTTTAAATCTTTACAAGAGCCCTCGTAGTTTAAAACTTTTCAATATCACAATAATGTAAATCGTCTCGTAAAATTGCAATAGTAGTAGATTTTATCAGTAAGCTGATCAATTAACGTTTTTTTTGCAATAACAATTTATTTCCTCTAGGTGGGGCTACCGCCCCACTCCGGCAAAAGTACGAATTCTGATAAAACTAGATGTTTGCGATGAAGGAGACCTCTTTTCCTGCTGTTACCGTGAGTTGGAGAGTAAAAGTTGCCTTGCTGTAGTGCCGATTATACCGCAAAGCGATTTTGGTGAAAAGTTAATTAAGGTAGGCCTTTTTATTTAAAATTCCGTCTAATAATTCTCTAATATTTTTGATTTCTTAGTGCCTGTCAGGGAAACGAATTGTATTTAAATCCGGGGCGTTAGTGCCCTTCAACCATTTTCGTGTTAACCAAGGGATGATAGTGGTATTCGCTTGCTATCCCTGTCGAGAGTCGCAGCCGTTTCTGTTCTGTAGAAGCTATGGATTCCCAGATCTCCACATAAGAGAAACTTGAGGCCGAGTAAATAAAATAAAAATTCTCAAAGTATTGGTCGAATAATACCGCGTTAAGACACCCGTTATTTGGTCTATTGTGCCTAGTAAAATAATATTGCGGGGAGGATATTAGGCGTCGTTTTTTACAAAGGCATCCGTCATTTTTTTTTCTCTCATGAGTGGAGAGTGATACTGTTCACCACCATTGGCCGATTACCGATATTTTTTATTACTGAGAGTAGCTTATTAATTTTTTTATTTTTAAAACGTATAGTTTGAATCATATTTAGTTTTATTATTGTAGATTTTTTTCTTATGGCTAAAGCCGGCCGTTTTCATTAATAGCAAGGAATTTGTGCTAAGGGTGTTAGTGCCCACCGTTTTAATTTTTTTAAAGGGAAAATTGTTATTTTTATTTTCTTATGGGTATAGTATAGGTCATAGTTAATTTTACCGTTTTATCATTTTCTGTAAATACCGAGACCTTTTATTTTATCAACATACATAATTCTACATTTATTTTATTACCGTTATTAAACAGATAAATATATACCGATTTCATCCCGTTTATTTTATTTTTAATTATTATTTATTTCATTTATTTTGTAAATATATTTTTGATTGAAATTCCTGAGTTTAATTTTGAATTACGCCTTTGCTTTTTTCCGTTTTCAGGGCGTAGTGATTAATAGGTAAAAGTGCAGTGAAAAACTTTATTTACTTTACTACCCCAGTGTAGGTCAACTTAACAGCGAAGGTCTATCCGTTTCATTTTTTTTGTTTGTACCTGGACTCCACTGAGTCTACTGAGGGTGTACTCTACGTGCACCCCAGGGCCGCAGAGCAAACTGCGATATCAAAACTGGCGCCTGAGCAACCCCTATTCGGGAATTACATTCATAGCGCCACAGACTCGCTGAAGCACTGTAGGTGAATCAGGAGACTTGTCGTTATTATTAACGAGGAAGTCACCTCCTTTCTTTCTAAAGAAAATAAAGATAAGACGCAGTATTATCTTTATTTTCTTACACTGGAACACGGACGGATGACAAAAGTCAGTCATACAGTGATGTATCTGGCAGCATCTGGAGGCGGCTGGCGGCATCTAGAGGCAGCTGGCGGCATCTGGACATTGTATACAAACGACCGGGTCACCATACATTTATGTATGAACAAACTCAATGGAAATAACGGAAAAACAAACGGACGGGAGATCAACCAAAAGTCAATCGTAGTGGCGGCGTTTGTACTGCAACGGTACGTTGTGACGGAGGGAAAAACGGGCGGGGCACGACGGGAACAAGGTCTGGTGCGACAGAACATGGGAATCAGACGGGGCAATTCTTCCACATCTCGGCTAGAACAATACAAGCCATTAATCGAGTCGTTTAAGACGGGTTTCTACGGGAGACGGGAATCAGGAATGGGAATGGAAGCAATAACGGTTCCCTAAACGGATTTCAGGGTTGACGTCTTAATGGACACGGACGGTCGTTCCCTGGCTATGAGGAAGAAACAAAACAAAACGCTTAATCAACGCGCTCTGATGCGGGTTTTAGGTCCTTGATATGGACTTTGTTGATTCGCTTACCGGCGGCATCCCTCAGGTTGTAAACTACGGGTGAAATTACTTTAGTGACGGTGTAGGGGCCGGAAAACTTAGGAGCAAGTTTCGCCGCTACATGATCGGCGGCGGAAGACAGGGTATGCTCCCGCTTCATAACTAGGTCACCAATGGTACACCTCCAATCCCTACGACGAAGGTTATAATATTTGCTCTGGGAGGTGAACGCTCGTGACAAACTGAGCCTTGCCAACTTATAACATTCCTGTAACTTAGCCAGTCTCTGGATCTGACCTTCGGGTATGGGCTGTTGATCAAGAGGATCCGCAGGCGGTACGGCAGGGTCGGCGTCTCGACGGAGGGTTTTGGGTACGGATAGTTCACGTCCAAAGTTAAGAAAGGCGGGGGAGTAATTGATCGACTCGTGACGGGATGTATTAATCGCAAAACGGAGATCGGAAAGATGTTGATCCCAATCACGGTGATTTTGTTCACAGAACTGGGCTATCATAGTTTTAATGGTCCTATTGGCCCTTTCCACGGGATTGGCTTGTGGGATGTAGGCCGGGGTGCTACGGTGACGGATCTCGAGTTCCTTCAGGACATTCTCGAAGAGTCGGCTGGTGTATTGTGTGCCATTATCAGTTATGACCTCCTTCGGGCATCCAAAGGTCGAAATTACGTCGTCATACAAGGCGGCACTCACTGTCTTAGCAGTGGCGGCACGGATGGCTCGGCATTGCACCCATTTAGTAAAACGGTCTTGGAACATGACAATGTAGGCGTTACCCTTCTTACTTCGGGGCAACGGGCCGACTAGGTCGGTGCTAACAACTTCCCAGGGTGCGCGATTTGAAGAGGGTTGCATCTTCCCAGGTGTCTGTTGCTGGGATGGCTTGTATCGTTGGCATTGTAAACAGCCCCGGACATATTTAGTTATATCCCGGAACATACCCGGCCAGTAGTAACACTGGGCGATTCGGGCGATCGTCTTAGCGATGCCAGAGTGGCCAGCGGTGGGAGCATCATGGTTCTCTTCCAACACTCGAGTACGCTGCGGCGTCGGTACACACAGCTTCCAAGGATCGGATAGCTCGGGTTCCTTGTAGTCATTAATATCCCAAAAGTGGCGATATAATCGGCCTTCTCGTATGCTGTAATCTGGGAATTCGGCGGGGCTCTTTTCTACATCAGCTTTCTTTTGGTTATACCAATTACAGTTAACAGGGTCTATGACTGCGCATATTTCGAAGTCAGGAGGGGAGTCCTCGGTACGGGGTAACGGGTTTCGCGACAAGGCATCGGCAACTCGGTTCAGGGCCCCACGGCGGTACTTGATGTCGAAATCATATTGTTGCAAGAAGATACTCCATCTTGCAAGACGGCCGGACGGACTCACGATTGAATGCAACCACCTTAAGGATTGGTGATCGGTCAACACGGTGAAGTAATAACCTTCCAGGTAACCCCGCATCTTTTCTATTCCCCATACTATGGCAAGACACTCCTTTTCGGTCACCGAATAGTTTCTTTCGGCCGAGCTCAGCGTTCGGCTGGCATAGGCTACGACAAAATCGATTCCATCCTTTTTCTGTGTAAGAGCCACCCCTAGCCCATGGGCAGAAGCGTCGGTCTGTAAAATAAAGGGCACGGAAAAGTCGGGACAACTAAGGATCGGAGCCTCAGTTAAAATTGTCTTAAGTTTTGAGAATGCGGCCTGTTGTTCTTCTTGCCAGTTCCAACGGTTCGCTTTCTTCAGAAGTTTAGTAAGGGGTGCCACAACTTGCGAAAAACAGGGCACGAAGCAGCGGTACCAAGAAGCTACCCCTAAGAATCTTCGGAGCTCCCGAATGTTTTTTGGTGCTTCAAATCGAACGATAGCTTCGATTTTATCAGGGTCGGTATGGATTCCGGTGCCTGTGACAACATGGCCTAAGTATTTTAAACTTAAACACCTCCTGGAGGTTTCCAAAATGCTATTCAAACGTCCTTCCTAGTACTACAATATCGTCTAGATAAGCGAAAGCGTGTGGATCCATTTCTGGTCCAATGACACGGTCTATCAATCGTTGAAATGTTGACGGGGCGGAGTGAAGGCCGAAAGCCATCACACGGAACTGAAATAGTCCTCGACCGGGGACGGTGAAGGCGGTAATCGGTTTACTACGGGGAGACAACGGGACTTGCCAATACCCATTCTTTAAGTCCAGACTGGTAATGTATTTGGCGGTACGGAGCTTGTCCAGAATCGAGTTCATAAACGGTAGGGGGTAAGCATCTTTCATGGTTACCTCGTTTACTTTGCGGAAAT